TTCTTCTCTCTCCTCAGTCCCTCCTTTTCTGTCCTCCCTTTCTCTCTCCTCTGGTACTCTGTATTGATACTCCGCGGCTATGGCCGCCGTCTTCCTCTTCCACCGGACTCCACTGCTCAGCTCATAGGTATGTGACAACCAATCTTGAATCGCTCATCTCTCTCCCTCTCTCTCTCTCTCTCTCTCTCTCTTTCTCGCCGTAGCGGTATCTTCAGCGCAGCAGGTAAGTAACCAATCTTGTATCACTCATCTCTCTCTCTCTCTCTCTCATGATCTTCTTGTTGCAGGTGCGCGGCTTCTCCTTCCACCTCGAGGTCCGCTATGGCGGACTACCTCCTCCGGCGGCACTTTAGCTATGGCTGATCGGCCCTGCACATATAGCGCGCATGGAACAGCGGGTACCAGCTCCGATACCAATGAAATCAAACTCGTCTTCTTCCCACTTTGTCATGCCTGCAAACAGCGGTACAGCAACTGGCGACATGTGCCCACACAGTACTCAAGATATCGTAACCAGATATGAGTTCTCTTCAACTGGCTATGGCGACTGGGCGCCCACACAACTCACTGTTCGCACTCTGGATCACCCTGGATGTCCCACACGCAACACTTAATATCATACAGCATTAAAAAAATGAAAAAAAAAAAATCAGCGACTAATAACGGCCGCAATACCCGCGGAACAGATGGCCGCCAGACAGCAATGAATGAATCGCTCCGTCTCCCTTTTCCCTCCGTCCTCCCTTTGCCTCCGTTAAGCTAAACTTTGACCAAACCGAACAAACGTAATTCATCGTGAATGCACAGAGAAGTAATACCGCAGAAACCTGACGTACGCAATGTCACATACACGGAAGTAAAATGTCAAAGAGGGACCTAAGATGTCACAGAGGCGACTAGATTGTCACAGAGATGCTATATTTTCACAGAGATGCTATATTTTCACAAAACTAGGGCACGGTCGGTGAAAACAATGAGTGGACTAAAACCACGCAAAATTGACGCAATCATGGTGAATCAGACTCTAGAGTAGGCCAGATCCCACTGGCGAAGAGGATTGGAATAAGCGTCTGAATCGGGACGTGTTTGTGAAGAGGCGCAAACATTTTCGATTGATCTGCTTTTCTACATGTACGTGTGGAACACGTCCAGATTCAGCCACTTATTCCAATCCTCTTTGCCAGTGGGATCTGGCCATTAGCACGCAAGCCCCTTCCCTCTCTACCGCCGGCTCTCTCTCTCCGTCGGCGTGCGGGGTATCACTCTTCCGTTGGCTCCGTCGAACCCCCTCATTCCCATTCAAGTTGACGTCACAATTCGTGTCTGCATGCATGGAAGCTGTTGAATAACGGTCGGCATTATCGTTGGGGGCCTAAGTAGGGGCAGCAGCGCCGTCACAGCCGTCAACACGACCAACACCCGATTATACGACTCGGAATTCAGCCCTACCGGTACTCGTCGGCACCACGTATCTCGCTGCTGTGCGAAGGAATCGA